GTGCTGGGGAAAGGGGGAAACGGGCCAGCACTGTGAGCGGGAGTGAAGTTTCACTGGGATGGTGCAAACGGTCTGGAACTAGATCGTGGTGACCGTTGGACAATTTTGTGCCTATACCAAAACCCATTGAATTGTACATTGAAAAAGGTGAATTTTATGGTATATAAATTTTATCTCAACTTTTAAAAATTAAAAAGAGAGAGAAGTTCTGTTTCAATTTTGACATGTAACAGCTTGGAAGTCACCACTCTTATACCCACATGAAGAAACAGGGGGACAAATTAAAAATCAACTTTCCTTTACCCACCAGGGAACTGAGGCCACAGGACAAAGCTCCACCTGGAAATCTGCGGACAATTGAATCCAGACAGTCAGAGCCGAGCTGTGGCCCTGATGCTGGTCGGTGCTGGCCAATAGTGGGCGGACGAGGCCTGCTTATCTGATCGGCTCCAAGAGGAACCTCCAGTCCCCCTCCTGGCCACAGGTCCTATGTGATGTTCTCAGTCATTTTCTCATGCTCCCCCCACCAGGCCATGCCCACCGCCCTTCCCAGTCGCTATGCAGGGCGTGGTGGGCTCAGCCTCCCCTCCAGGGCATCGCTTTGCTGGTCTGCTCAGCCCCCTGGTGACCTGAGCTCAGGCCACCGCCTGCTTCACCCTCCCCCGCCCTTTTCCTCACATCCCTAAGCTCAAAACTCCAGCCTCCGATAAGCCTCCCTCCCTCTTCTAACAGCCCGCTCTTGCCCTCACTGTATTGTGCCGTGGTCCCAGGTGAGTCCTCTGAGATCTGGGGCTGGCTCTATGTACCGGTGTCCCCCGTCCCCCCAAGCAGCCACCTCCTGCCAATGACTTAGCACTGTGCTTGTGACCTGACAAATGCTTACAAGTATCAGCTGTTCTGAGTTCAACCATCGTTCTGGATGGATATGGCTATACTGCTTGGGCTGTTCTCAAAGCCGGGGGGTCTCCTTCCCATTAGAACCCGACTCCCTCCCCGGCCGGGAGAGGCTCTGTTCTGTACTGACTACCTGGGGGAGGTGGGCCTGTCTGTGTTCAGCCCAGGGCCTGCAAACTGGTCCAGAATGTCCCGGGGGCATTGGATTCTATGAAAACCCTCCCTGGGAGCCTGTTATTAATAAAAGCAGTTACGTTTGCGCGTGGCAGGCACCCTTTTTGAGGGCGTTATCTTATCAGACCCCAGGTGCAACCAGCTCACAGGTATCGCCATCAACCCATTCTACAGATGAGGTGGCTGAGGGCCCGCAAGGGAGGCACTAGGGCTCCGGAGCCAAGCTGGGCCACAGCGCTGTGGTGCCTGCCCTGCTCTAAGCATTGAAGCTTAACGAGCTCTTTATGTTTCTCCCCAAGTCTTTGCAATCTCGGAGGGGTTTGTGCACCAGGGAGAGGGAGCAGGCGGTGCAGATGTATGCCAAGCTCTGTCCCCGCGCGGTGAGAGAGCTTAGGAAACCTTGGGACTGAGGCCACCCTGGTCATCCCACAGGTTACAGACTCTGTAGAGGCAGATTTTTAAAAAACATGTATTAGACATTAAAGAGACATAAACAAGAGTTTCTGTCGTGGCCACGGGGGTGCCCCACTTGTACCCCCAGTGATCCCTTTTGGGGCTCTGTGACCCACTCCCACCTGTCCTCTTCCCTGAATGCTCTCTCCGAGGGACAACCGAGATACATCCTTTTGGGCAGGGCACATCTGAGTTTACTCCCAGATAAACCCTACCTAGGACAGTTTCTTTCTTGCAGACCTTATCAGAGCTTTTTGCCATGCTATGGTGATGAATGATTTTCCAAGAAGGATGAAAATAAGGCAATGTTTTCAAAATTCTTTTAACCCAAATTCCACCTCTCTTCTTAAAACCACCTGCCTGAGCAAGTGTTTGCACTGGGCTCCCAGCCCTAAAGCAGAGGCGGGAGGAATCGGTCAAGGTCGCGCTCCCACTGCAGCTCCGTGGGATCCTGGGGTTGTTGCTGAGGGCGGTGGGGCAGGGGAACGGCCAAAGAAATAAAAGAGCCTCATTCCAAAGAAACAATTGTAAAATTTATTGTATGAGTATTGCAGCTTTTCAGAATGTCGTCATTGCCACTAACGATTACTGATACACAACAAGCGATTTCCTCAGGCCTGCGGACTGGCCTGCAGCACGGGGACAGCGCCGCAGCTCCGCGGGCCCTGCGCTCTGCGCGGCAGTTTACAGTTTAACAGGCGGGACGCGGGACGGCGGCTCCTAGCCGAGGACACCGCGGGAGCCCCGCCACCCGCACGCAGCCAGGGAATCGGCGGCCAACGGGGACGCGGCGTCCTTCTCAGCTCCACAGTCACAGTTACAGCAAAATCTGACGTGCAGGTTCCGGAGGAGAAACATTTCTTTCCGTATCATCGGGGTGTTGGACGGATCTGGAAGCTTTGTGTTGCACGTAGGAAAAAGAAATCTCTGAAACGTAGATTTCACAGAGAAGACAGACGGGGACAGGGAAGGGATCGGAGCTCGCCCGGCCCTGGCGCTCACGGCATGGGGACAAGAAGTCACTTTCCGCTCTCTGCACGAACTGGGCTTTGGGGAACATGGCTGGCTCTTAGAGGACTTCGCTAAGTCCGTCTGCGTGGACCCGGGCGTTGCAGGGAGGGGGCGCAGGGGGTGGGGTGATTGACAAGCACAAAAACAATGAGCGTCACAGAAGGCTGAGCCCAACCTGGTCCCCCTCCAACCAGCCACTTCTGAAGACCCCCAACTCTGTACTGGAAACGGGGGGCCTCCTGAGGGGTGCTTAAAGGCTTTTCAAAGATAATGGCATGCCAGCCAACACCTAGAGGAAAGAGTGCACCCCGCCCCTCAGCTCTGGGGCCCACAGAGAAACCAAGAGATTAGCCACGGAAGCAATTTCCAGAAACACACACCACTCATTTTCTTGAGATGCACTCCTCCAGGAGCTTCGGCAGCTGTCACCTGCTGGGCACCACGCCTAGGGACAGGGCAGCCTGGTGGCCTGGACTGCACTGGGGCGTGACCAGAGGGGGGCTCTGCCCCCAAGCCAGCTGAGGCCAGTCACCCACCTGGCTTCCTTCTAACTCAGAAAACACAGCAGATCAGGACCCCGCCCCCAGCAGAGGCTCGGTGGGCTCCAGAGGACCTCAGGGATGCATTCGACTCTGCTGCCCACTGGCTTTCGGCTGACTACTCGCACAAACGAGGTCCACGTCTAGGTGTCGGCCCAGCTGAGCATTAAGCACAGTGCTTGACAAGGGAGGCTAGAGGGGCAGGAGGGGTCGCCCTACCCGGGGAGGCACGTGCAGGACGGAGGCAGGTGGGAGAGAACTGGATGTTTGAAAAGCAGCAGCAGCCCTCTGCAGGCCGGGAGCGGGGAGGCCAGTCCCGGGGGAGCCAGGCACCGTCCAGGAGCGCCCGGCCCGGCGACAACAGTCCAGTGCTTCCTCGGTAAGGCACTAGGGAGATGCTCCACGGAAAGAGAGGTTTTAAAAATGTTCTCTACAAACGTGTCCCTATACCTTTCAGGACAGAGGATATTGATTTCTCTGCACGACCTTTAAAAAGAATCCTCTTTGAGGGAAGCAAATTTCAGGCTAAAGACCCCATGGAGAGGCAGGTTTTACGGTTAAGGTACACTTTCTGCCAGGCTGGTGGGCGGGCGCTCAGAAGGCCCTATGTCTGGTGGTCACTATGTTCGTAAAATGTGTATATAAATAGAGTTCAAGTGGTCAGAACTTCAAAACTGTTCTCAGGTTGTTTTTCAAGTAATAAAAAAGTTGCTTAAAGACAATAGTTATTGCCTCGTATCGTTCTGTCAGGCGGTACTCTCCCCGGAACGAAGACACCTCCGTGGGGTGGGGGTGAGGGGCCGCTCCTCTGGCTGGGGAGGCCCCCCCACGGAATATCAGCACGTCCTCACTGGAAGGAAGGCCCTCCCGTTCCTGCCACTGTCCTCGGGAGATGCCCAGCGACCCCCCACCCCGCTTCCTGTCATTCATCTCTGCCCACAGTGTGCCCACGGGCACTTCCTCCTGCACCCCACCGCCGGGGGTCTCGCCACACCCAAGCCTACTCAGTAACGTCCTGGGAAACAACAGTCGTGCCAGAGGAGGATGCTTCTGAAAACACACACACACACCCCCCAAGCGGGACCGTTTCGGGAGGAGATGGAGAGGGGAGGGATTCTGCCTCGGCCTGCAGAGGGCCTGACTCTCGTCTCAGCCCGTGCGCATGTCCTGGGAGTGTCACCGTTTCACCTCTGGTCTTCTGTTTATTGGGCTGTTAAGCGAGAATCAATATAGAGAGAGAAAGCTGGGGTCGAGGTCACATTTTAATACTTTGGGCCTTTCCCATCTGCCAGTGGACTGCACGGACCCTAACCGGCAAATTCTGGAGCCACCCTCGAATTCTGCACCATCGAAGCCGACTGCGCCCCTCTGGCGCGCCAAGAGGAGCACCGGTAGCCCCTGCCTCTGGGGACCTTCATGATTCAAACAAAAGTAGGAGAAACCTTAAATTCCTTAGTAACAGTTTATTTTCATTTGGGGAAAGGCAAAGCCACCGCCTGAACTCGGCCTCGAATAACTTTCCTACTTNCTGAACTCAGGGCCTCGAATAACTTTCCTACTTCGTGCGATTCAAGGGCTGTTCTGACCCAGAGGGGAAAAGCGCGTCCCCTCCGGGAGGGAATGTGTAACGAGGTAAGGACCCATCACCGGCCGAGGCGTCCACTCTGCGGGACAGTGCCCGCCGGGAGCCTCTCCCCAAACCGCGTGCGGAGCCCACCCTCGCCGGCCGCGGGTAACTCGACGCTTCTCCCTCGGAGTCTCCACAGACGCGACAGACGTTTCCATCGAACAAGCACTGACATATTTATATTAAAAAATAGTGCAAAAGCTCAACATTTATATAAATAACTCTAAACCCCTGCTTTGTAATTGTTTTCTTTACAAGGTAATACACACTTGCGGAGTTGGCACTCAAAAACGGCCATTTTCTCTTCGAGTTCAGAAAACAACGTGTGTTTTTTAATAGGACTCTTCTAATACAAAAATACTCCTACCCTCGCACAGACAGCTTCTCTTACTTTATATATATTTATATATATAATATTGCAGATCTTTAAACAAAGGTTTTGTGCAAATATGTTTTTAAAGTTAAGTGAAGTCGTCATAAACAAAAGAAAGTAAGCCCTCACGAAGCCCGACTGGGAACACGAAAGACTAGGGTAGAATTTTTTTTTTCTCTTTGCCTTCAAGACACGCTCAACAAAAACATGTTTGTTAGTTTTTTGTTTTGCTTTTTTTGTTGTTGTTTTTTGCAAGCTTTCTTAGCTTGTGCGTTCAGACCAGACGGAACATGTAAATATTTATACACAGAGAGGTGGGAGGGGATGGTGGTGCGCGTTCCCCACGTGTCCCCCAATCCTCCTCTCCCTTCTTAGAAGTGCGGAGTGTTTTGCTTTTACCCACCGCTGCCTCGGCCGAGGCCCCGGGACCCCTAGAGAGGGTGTCCCTTCTGTTTCTCCTTTTCTTGGCTCCAGGCGGCGGTGCTCTCCAGGGGCGCAATGTGTGAGTGGTGGAGCCGGGTCCCCTCCAGCAGGGAGGGCGGGCCGCTGCTCTGCTGATGCTGGAAGGCGGCGGACCCGGGGTAGTGCCCGATGACCTCGCTGTAGGTGGGGGGTGGCCCCTCCATGCGCCCGCCGCCCCCGTAGCACGTGGCGCTGATGCCCGAGTTACTGCTGGGGGGGCAGGGGCCGCCCAGCATGGCACCGTCCATCAGGTCGCTGTCGAAGATGGTTCTGTTCGGGGGCGCGCGCACCGACTCGCGGTTGAGCTCCAGCTGCTGCTCGGGGTCCCGCAGCTGGAGGGTGCAAGGGCCCTGGTAGGGTGGCGGCTCCTCCCCGTCCGACAGAGAGATGGTAGGCGGCAGGTCAATCTCATGCTGCAGGTAGGGGTAGGTGGGCTGGAAGCGGTGGAAGCGGTCCCGCTGGGTGAAGGGTGGCACTGCCAGGCGGTCCGCGGGCCTCGGTGGGGCGTAGACCTGTGGCTGGAGGGAGCGGAGCAGAGTGAGGGCCCCCAGAAGCAGGGCCCGAGGCCAGGATGGGTGCATGCGACTCTGCTCTCTGGGGAGGGGGGAGGGCGGCGGGAGTGAGCCTGGGGCCCAGCCTCCGCCTGTCCCAGGAGCCCTGGCGTGGGTGGCAGACGCTGTGGGCTGCTCCCTGGGGGTAGGGCGTGTGTACTGTCTGGGCAGGGAGGGTCCCAGCCACCAAGCATATTTCTTCAGAAGGGCAGAGAGTGAGCCTGTAGCAGCCACACTGTTCCAGCCCCATGAAGGGCACCTGCTGGGCTGGGGGACTTTGGGGAGCAGGTGTGGAGGGGAACCGGGGAAGGGAATAGGCAGGCAGCACGGGGGCTCACCTCCGGGATTCCGCTACCTGACACCGTGCTCTCCGAGGGCCAGAGGCATCCTTCCTGTACCGGGAGGAGAGAGACAGGTCAGGGGGATGGGTGGACAGAGCTGAGAGGGCCAAGGGTCCACCCGGCTTGGACCCTGAGCTCTTCCATTTAGAATGAGATCTTGCGCCATCCGCCTCTCTCCAGCCCCACCTACTCTCCCCGCCCAGGCTCAGGACACCTCTCAGACATGATCGATCACTGGGTGTCCACTCTGTCCCTAAAAATGCATCCTCCACATTTCCCAAAACATGCAGCTGATGCGTGGGCCCCTTCTCAGAGCCCTCCAGCGCCTCCTGTTGGCCTTAGAATAAATCCACAGTAACTCCAGAACTAGCTGCTAAGAAAGCCTGGCCTGATCTAGCCCTCCTGGCCTTGACCACCCTTCCTTGCTTTGCCACCTTGGGCAAGTTACTGAATTCCAGAACTGAAGGAGTGGCACGTAAAAGCCACTTGGGGTGCACGTGGCTCTCAGTGAGCACATGAAAATGTTGGATGCCATCACCTCGCTCTCTCCTGCCATGCTGACTGCTGTCTAGCACATCAAGGTGCTAAGTGTGCACCTCAGGGCCTTTGCACTGGCCACCCCACTACATGGTCAACTCCTTGCTCTTTTTAAAATCCTCACCCGAGGATATGTTTATTGATTTTAGAGAGAGAAGAAGAGAGGTGGGAGGAAGGGAGAAAGGGGGGAGAGAGAGGGAGAGAGAGAGAAACATCGAACAGTTGCCTCTGGCACGTGACCACAGTAACTCCAGAACTAGCTGCTAAGAAAGCCAAGGACTGAACCCGAGACCCTTCGATGCATGGGAGATACTCCAACCACCTGAGCCACCTGGGCCGGGGCTCCTTGCTTTTTAATTCCAGTGTCCCCTGCAGATTTTTTTTGACACCATTATCTAAAGGGCCCGCACCCATTAAAAATCCTGTCTCTTAATTATTTCCTTCATGAGAATGATCTCGTCTCCATGTTTGTTTAGCTCTTGACTGCCTTGGCCTCCCATCTGTGAGCCCAGGTGATAGGTGAAGAAATACAAGAGAGTTAATGAGAAAGTGCCCCACCCAGCTCCTCGCCACCGAACAAGTCAGTGAGTCAACAAACGTGGATGCGGCCCCACTGCTGTGCCAAGCTCTGGGCCAGGTGCCAGGCATGTAGCTGCCACCTCACGAAGCTTATGCCCTCTGCCCTGAAATTCTGGGTGGGGCCTGCAGCTCCCCCCAGGAATGCAGGGGGCTGGCTCTGGACTCCAGTTTGCCCACTGGCTCCCTCACACCCACTACCCCCTGGGGGCAGCCTCTGCCCTGCTCAGGCCTCCCGACCTTGGCCTGAGCCACCAAAGAGAGGTTAGAGACAGCAAGCCCATCTCACAGAGGGGCCGACATAGACATCAGAGCCCTCAGCTCCCACAGAGCTGGAAACCCTGCCCAAGGCCCCAGGGATCTCTCTCAACTAATGAAAGACCCCTCCCTCTCTACTGAGATCCCTATTTCACGGGGAGACACCTAAGGGTCAGGAAGGTGGGACCCCACATCAGGATCAGTTCATCTGAGGAGTAAACCCAGACACTGTCCCTGGAGGGAGGGATGTCTTCTTTTAAAAATTAAAATTAGTTTTATTGAGATATACCTGACATACAAACTACACATGTTCAAAGTACATAACTTGGCTAAGTGTTGGCATATGTACATACCAGGAACCCATACCACAATCAAAATCACAAACATCCATCATCCCATTAACGTCCTTGGGGGCGCGTTTTCTGGAGGGTTCCCGTTTGAGGCTTCACACCTGCAGTCTGCAGAGGACCTGCCCAGAGGACGGCAATTCCCCATATGGCCGCGAGGGGGCCTGCGTCTCTCAAAACTGTCCCATCAGGAATGCACCAGAAGCCATGAAGACTCACTGGGGTCTAGTATGTTCCAGGTGGGGGGATGCAGAAAGCAGGCACACACTGTTACCGTTAGTATGGTCATCAATGACCATTTTGCTACTAATGTTAATAATTCCGTATCAATTGCTGCCTTGCTGTCAGGCACTGTGACAGCACAGTCTCAATTTTCCCAAAAAAGCACCTGTTCCCACATGGAGTGGGAAGCCCGGGGGAGGGTGCAAGGTGGCTTGGATGAAATGTGATCCAGACAAGGCCCTGCCTAAAGCCCTCCTATGAGGTCCTCTTCCCTCCACCCCACCCGCTGAGCCACAGCCTAGGGGTTTTCCTCCTGGTTGCAAAGTAGCACCACCTAGGTAGGTAAAGAAAACACCCATCAGTGCCTGGGGGCCCCACTGTAGACCCCAGAACCATCCTCCCTCCTTGTCCCTGACTGCCTCCAACTTGTGTACCTAGCAGTCATCTCCTCCTTCAGGGACTTATCCAGGAACCACCCACCGGGCCAGATGCCCCTCCCAGGAGGCTACAGCCTCAGCTCCCCCACCAACCTGGCCCTGCTGTGCGGAAACCCACCATCCAGCTGGCTGTGATTAGAGCCCTCCTGCCCAGGGGCCGGTTTTACTTACCTTGTTCACCAGTTTAGTGAATGGCCCCCACATCCTTCCAGGTGCAAAAGCTAGACCCCCGAGGTTGTTCCTGACAGCTCCTTCTTGCCCCCTCCCATCCCTGACACCACAGGCTCCATCTGGCTCCCTTTTCTTTCTAAAAGCTCCCTTGCTGTGAGCTGTCCAGCCGGCCACTTTTCCATCTAGATCAGGGGTCCGCAAACTGTTTCCTTAAAGGGCCAGAGAGTAAACTATTTCATGCTTTGTGGGGCACACGATCTGCTATATCACTAACACCGTTGCTGTGAGGCAAACGTAGCCACCACAGAAGATACCGTGGGAATGGGCTTGGCTGTGTGCCAATGAGGAAACACGCTCTCAGGAAGTGACCCCGAAAAGGGGTCACGGTAGGACAGCCAGGCCAGGGGCGGTTTGGGCATCTCTGGGAGGTCGCTGGGCCCTGAGACTCCACAGACCTGCCCTGTCTGGCAGTGGGCCCCCAGGGGAGCTACCACACTTACATCAGGCCTAACAAGGCTCTGTGTTCACCCAGCCAGGCATCCCCAGGGACTTGTGCAGGTGGCCGGGCAGACGGGTAGCTGGGGGGAGGAGGGCTTTTTCTAACCTCAGGTATCCTGGAACCAGGGCTTGAATCCTAACCTCCGTCTGTGCATGAAGTCCCAGGTGCTGCCCACAGAGCTGTCCCCTCCATGGACGCAGGGACGCCTCCCACAGGAGCCTCTGCATCTCGCCCACACTCTCCCCAACTTCATCTTCCCAGGGCCACATGGGGTGGAGGGAGAAAAGCCAGCTCCACCCATTCCACAGACGCTCACACTGAGGCCCAGAGGGGAAGGGGACCCACCCTGGAGCACATGCTTTGGGGCGGTGTATTCTTTGTACAAAGTGCCTTCACTTCCCCAGCACTTGAGGTAGAACAAATGGGAGCCGCTCTTCAAACTGCCACTTAAAAGCTGTGTGGTCTCAGGCTAGTATTCCCACCTCTCTGAGCCTATTTCTCCTCTAAAATGGGGTTCCCAGGCTGCTGCCAGTGGGGAGCTGGCAAGTGAAGCCATGGCAGACGTGCATTGCAGCTGGCAGCACTGTCGCTGGGCTAACTGAGGTAACAGCGGGACCACTGAACACAGGTGAGCCCTGGCTGTGGAAGCAGCGATTCCTTCAGAGCAGCTGTGCCCGCTGGGCATGTGCTGGGTCTCAGGTTGGGGCACCCAGTGTTCGCCTTGGAGGGACAGAGCAGCCGCCCCTTGTCCCGGCAACCCGGTGACACACTGAGGCCATCACCTGATGCAAGCACAGGTGGTGGAACCTGCCGGGACAGGCCTGGGGCAGACTCGGCTCAGCCCCCGAGACTGAGCAATACCGTCAACCTCACATGTCCCGGGACCCGGGAGGCCACGCCCAGCACCAGCCTCCTTGTCCTGTCACTGTCCTCCCAGCGCCGGAGGAACACAGATCGAGAGATGTGCGCTGTCCACAGCCTCGGGGCCGCCCATGTGCCACCATCCCCCTAATTCTCAGCCCGCCCCTCGGACCCTAGCTTCTGTCCCAAGCTTTTACACAATGAATGGGGGCTGCAGCCCCATTTCACGGATCAGGGACTGGTCTGAGGGCACAGAGCCAGGACTGGTAGAGCTGGGATTAAACTTGGCCGCAGGAAGGGTCCCCTCCCTGCCATGACATGCTGCCTCCAAGGCCCTGAGTCCCTGGCCCAGACGCCTGCAGGGCGTTGGCTGGAGGGAAGGGCCCCTCCCTGTGTCTGGGTCACCACTGCAGAACTAGGCACCTCTGCTCCAACACCCGTCCCATCAGGCCTCTGTCTGGACCTAGAGCTATGTCCCCTGCTATTGGCACCCAACGTGGGACACCCTGGGCACGTCCCGAGGGGCGGGCACTTACTGAGGACAGGGCGTCTTCTCTCCTCCTGCCCCGGCTGTGCCGGCCGATGAAGGAGCGCGCAGAGAGCTTGTAGTGGCTGAGCAAGCACGTGATCACCACGACCATCACCATCACCACCACCACGATGATGGTGATCTCCACGAACTCCAGCTCCGCTGCAACACCAAGGGGAGGTGTGAGACCTCAGGGACCCAACGCCAGCCCCAACACATACACCCAGCCAGACACGCCGCTGCTACACGCGCCGCAACACACACACACACACACACACACACACACACACACAGAGCACAGGCGTTCACGCCACACGGGCACCGCGCTCCAGAGGAGAGGCAAGTGCATCAGAGGAGCCCCTCTGAAGAAGAGGCAGGAAAAGGGAGCCCGAGGGCTGCGTGTAACTGCAGTTTTCATTTCTCGCTTTGATTTTGTTTGGTATTTCCCCTTGAAGGCGGAAAAACCCTCAAGTGCCGGGAAGGGAGCTCGGGAGGTTTCTGCTGACTCAGGCGGGTCCGTGTCAGGGGCTCTGCAGCTGGCCCTGGTTGGTGCCAGCAGGAACCCCCCACCCCCACCCTGCAGCGGGCGATGCTGGTGCTGGTCCTGCTGGGGACTCGGTGGTAACAGGGAAGAGGGGCCACCAGCCGGCAGGTGCCAGCCTCCCCTGGCCCACTGGGCAGAATGCCCAGCCCAACAAGCATTCTGGGTCAAGGAGACTCCGAAATGCCACCAGGTGCTCAAGAGCTACTAGCCAAGGGCCCCCAGGGCACAGGTTCAAGCTCACGGCCACTTGACTCAGCTTTTCCTCCTCCAAGACAGACAAGGGAGCTGGAGGAACAGGGACCGGCTGCCGGTGAGGTGTGGCTGTCACGAGCCTGCCCCCACGCTGGGCCCACCCAAATCCAAACCCTGCAGGGCCAGCCCCTCCTGCCTCTGGCCTTGGCTTCTCTGAGGCTCCCAGCAGGAAAACAATGCATCCTTGGTGACCGGTACTGTTGGTCCAGCCACGGGAGCTTCTCCACACAGAACCCACGTCCTCTGGAAGCCCTGGCCCCTTGTCCCGCCCAGGCTTTCCAGGACCCCTACCTTCTCATACATTTGCGCAACTGTGCCAAGCTTACTCAGCACCATCAGTAAGTCAGGCAAGTCTGCCCCTCACGGGACATATGGCAGTATCTGGGGACAGGAGTGACTGTCACACGGAGGGTGCTCCTGGCATCAAGTGGCAGGGGCCAGCGGCGCTGTGCAACCTCTAACATGCACAGAAAGCCCCATGACAATGATCTGGCAGCAGTGGGCATCCCTGCACAGGGCTGAGCACATGTCCGGGGCACTTTTACCACCCATCTCAGAGGTCAAGTGACAGGCTCCTGTAGCCCAAGGGCCCAGAATTGGTAGCTCCTCTCACCTGACTGTCCATTGTACCCAAGAATTTTATCTGGAGTTTGGGCCTTGGCTCTGGCCCATGGGTGGGACTGTGTCCCCATTTTACTCTGGAGAGGCCAGAAGGGACGATGAACTGCCCAGGGACTTTGGTGAGACATGGATCCCTGGGAAGGCTAGGGCCCAGCCTGGCAGGAACTCAGCAAGCCTCCACCACTCTCAGGACTCCCTCACTTTCTGGCCAGGAGGGCGGGCCTGGGTTGGGCAAAGGCTAGGCGTCTGGCCTCAACCCAGTAACTGTGGCCACACCTCCTGCCTCCCCAGACAGGCTGGTCTAGGGCCTGGGCGGCCTGGCTTGATTCCATAGGGCCCAGGTCTTGTCTATTAGGACCTGGGATAAAGCCACCCATTCAGGGGACACACAGGCCTGCTTTGTGCAGCACCATGGCCTCCCGTCTCAGAGGGGCCTGCAATTCCCCTCCCCGAACCTGACACACTCTTCACCCCGGCCGGACAGCAGAGGTGGGCAGCCCTCCCCCCTCCCTCCGTTTCCAGGGGCCTGCCCATGCTGGGCCTGGAGGGAGGGAGGTGTGTGGGACCGCCTGTGCCCCCTCCCAGGCGGCTCCCAGGGCCCGGGCCAGGCTCTACCCTCCTGGTGCCCTCAGGCCCACGCAGCAGCACTGGCTGAAGCAGCAGGGCTGCGAGGGCCATCAAGGGCCATGGACGAGACCCCAGCAGACCGAGTGGGTGTGAAGAAACCCCCACAGCTCCACGGACCAGCCACGAGGGGCCCAGATGACAGGAGGATCTGGTTTCTGGGGTCTGGTGTCCGGAGTGAGAGAATCACCCCTAGAAATGAGCACTGGGCTCCTGACAGATAGCACTGCTGTGCCCACCTAGGTCCTGGGCCACAGCCCCATGAAGGCACAGACAGAAAACTCACAGGGGGCGCAGAGGGAGCAGTTCTAGGGAAAAGGGCAAGTGGGACTGATTTCTGGGTCCCGTGTTCTGGAAGCCGAAGGCCTGGAGTCTGGGCCCAGAGCAGGAGGGAGACGGCCAAGGGTCCCCAAGCCTCTGCTCAGACCAGCACAGCCTTTGTGTGACCCTGGACTTCGCTCGAGTCCATCCCAGCTGCCCCAAGTACAGGGGAAGATGCAGGGCGCCTGCCCGGGCACCTCTGTGTGGCGATGTGCTGGGCACCCAGGGAGCATGCCCTCAAGGTGACTGATTACTGCGGGCTCATTAGCACCCCAGCTACAGCAACACAGGGGAACCCCAAACCTATTAGCCCGAAGAGAAAGTTGTAAACTGGCTACTATAGGCCACACCAGGGGCACAAAGGCACGGGGGCAGGGCACTGAATGGGGCAGGAGAGCTACCCAGTCCCCAGCAGCTGATTCACCACGGCCTGCGTGGCAGAGAGCGCCCGGGGCTGGGAGTTCTGGCCTTGGCCATGGGTGAGAGGGTCTGGTCCTGCCAAAAGCAGCCCCCAGGCTCTTTCACAAGCAGGGTGCTCCTTCCAGGAGGACTCCCCTTCTTGGGAAGTGCACCCTGAAAGCACCTGCTGGGAAAGGTTGCAAACAGGAGACCCGAGGACATCTGCATGCACAGTCCTGTAAATGGAACTGTGGGCAACCACCTCTTCACATAGGCATGTGCCCTCGCTTGGCCCCAAGCCTCACCTGGGTCTGTCGTCTGCCCGGCCCCTTGGGGAGCTTGGCCCTCAGCATCTGTGCTGACTCCTCACCCCGGTTCCCACGGGAGGCATCGCTAATGGAGCATGAGCCCCCTCCCCAGTCCACACACCGCTCTAGACCGGCGCTCCTGGTTGAAACCCTGTGGGCCAAACAGGACGGTGCCCTGGGCAGGCTCCCAGGGGGCCCAAACTNCCCCAGTCCACACACCGCTCTAGACCGGCGCTCCTGGTTGAAACCCCGTGGGCCAAACAGGACGGTGCCCTGGGCAGGCTCCCAGGGGACCCAAACCGCCCCACCTCTCCAGAACCTGGAAGCCATTTGTGAAGCTGCCTCGCCTCTAATGCTGGCAGCATGGTGAAGACTTTTAAAAGCATTGGGCAGGCCAAAGCACAGGGCCAAAGGAGTCCCAGGTCACTCTGCTGCTAATGGCACGTGTGGAGCCTGCCTCTGTTTCCCCAATAAGACAGACCTCCCCTTTACCTGGACACNAGAACCTGGAAGCCATTTGTGAAGCTGCCTCGCCTCTAATGCTGGCAGCATGGTGAAGACTTTTAAAAGCATTGGGCAGGCCAAAGCACAGGGCCAAAGGAGTCCCAGGTCACTCTGCTGCTAATGGCACGTGTGGAGCCTGCCTCAGTTTCCCCAATAAGACAGACCTCCCCTTTACCCGGACATGAAGCCAAGTACCCTGCATGGTACATGCAGAAGTGGGTCCTACCACTGAGTGCCTGACCTTGGTCCCCAAATCTCCTGTGACCACAGGACTCACAGCCAAAGCCTGGTCACAGAGGGGACAGAGCAAGAGGGGGTGGGTGGGCCGGTCCACAGCCCGACTCACTGCACACATGGTAACTACTCACTGTAACTATGGTGATGATTCTAACAGCTGTAGCTCTGAGCTCTCCTCCCCCGAGTGAGGAGGCGGGTGCCATTCCCATCNAGCCCGACTCACTGCACACATGGTAACTACTCACTGTAACTATGGTGATGATTCTAACAGCTGCAGCTCTGAGCTCTCCTCCCCCGAGTGAGGAGGCGGGTGCCATTCCCATCCCCAATTTGCAGACCAGCAAACTAAGGCTCAGGGAGCAGTTGCCTTAGAAAAAGCAGGGCCGGGTCCCGAACCCAGAGCCTCCCCGAGAGCTATGATGGGGAGACCTCGGTTCTGCTCAATACTCCCGGCTTTTTGAGGTATTTGTTAGGTCCCCTCCCCACACCCCGAGCACCCCTGAGGATTCGGGTCAGTCCTGCCTCCCCATCTGCCAGCTGCAAGGTGTGTGGCCCAGGGCGCCCACACCTCTGTGAGCCCCAGCCACAACCTGGAGAGCTCAGAACGGGGGAGAAATAGCACGGGCTCCATCGTCACAATCCCAACAGCCTGTGGGGACGAACGGCGCCCTTCACCCAGGCTGATGCCCTGGAAGTGCTGGTTGTGCCCTGCTAACTCTGTCCCAGGGGTAGGGGTTTGGGGCAAGGTCGCCCAAAAAGGTCAGCCAGGGTGGCAGCTGGATCTGAGGCTACCAGGGACTTATAGGCACCGGTCCCTGCTCTCAGGACCTGGCTGTGAGAATGGAGCCTTTGGGAAAGAAGCATCGTTTTCCCTTAGTTTTGCTCTGATGTCAAATCTCTCGCTATGGGGAGGGTGAGAGAGCAACGCTGTCGTATTTTTTCTTGTTGTTAATCTTCACCCGAGGATATTTTTTCCATTGATTTTTAGAGAGAGTGCAAAGGAGGGAGGGAGGGGGAGAGAAACATCGATGTGGGAGAGACACATTAATCGGCTGCACGCACCCTGATTGGGGATCAAACCCGCAACCCTTCGGTGCACAGGCTGACGCTCTAACCGCTGAGCCACACCAGCCAGGGCACAACGCTGTCATTTTTCTTTGTAATTCCTCCCTTGGGGCAGGTGGTGAACGTGGCAGGCTCTCGGGGGTGACCAGGCCCATCTTCCACATGCAAAGTAAAGTCACCTCTCATTTAGTGTCCTCTTTCCTCATGAATAATTTCCAGTTAACAGGCTCCTCTGCCTCACTGGCGTGGTCTGATGCTCCCCGAGGTTGTCTTCTCTGCCAGAGACAGATGCAGTCACTTTGAGATGTGTGCACACACATCTCTGGTCCCCTAGGTGCCAGGCACGGCCGCATCCTATGGACATTGTTTTACTGAATCCTCACT